GAACAGAGTGGACTTGCAACGATCACAGGAATGAAAATAACAGCTTTGAGATCAGTGGAGTGCGTGGTGCGGATCTGCTGATCATTCGGCTGCCGTCTCATTCTCATTCACAGCTACAGCGCTTCTCCTGCTTCTTGTCAGTCAGCTCAAGATGCTGCTCACATCCTGTTTTACTGTACTCACACAAACTGAATCCATTACCGCCAAACCAGACAGATGAAACCAAAGACTCTCCTTTAGGCAAAACAGCCACATAACATCCACCACTTCTTATTCTTCATACAATCTTAAAATATTAAACATTCAGCAGGACATTTTACTAAAACATTTTGTTTTCATGGCAGGATTAGATGATCAGATGAACTACGGAGGTTTTAGTTGGTTTTTAATTTCTTAAATTTATTCTACCTTTAATGTGCTGTATGTTCGTGTTTTTAGATAATTTTCTCCTTTTCACAGCAAATGTTGCCGACAGGTGGCTCAGCAGCAGGATGACCAGGTGCATCTGCAAGTGATTCATTCTGTAAATGTTTTTTCTCTACTTACAGTTGTGTTTTAAATTCAGAGAGCCAGAACTGAAGTGTTATTAGTTGAAAATGCATCATAGTTCCAGTTAGAAGTTGCATATCTATTTTGAGATCCGATCATTAATTTTACAGATGGAATAATAATTCAAAACATAACTGCAATGATTATTTTTTAAATAACGGATGCAAACGTGAATTTTATCTATAACCCATTTATATCTCACTTAAATTACTTTATTTGTTTATTCTTTGTGTAATAAAGTTTCTTAACCAGGGACCTGAGTCCGAATTTCATACCATAACCAAGTAAGGTTATGGTAAAAAATCCTTGAATGCAAGGTGGAGCCACTGCACACATGCACAAGTTTAAAGGTCAAATATTAGCCAGTTTTATAAATTTTATAGCTGTTTGATAACTTTCAACCTTGAGTTGTTGATTCGTTGAGGCGTGAACTGCAACAGTTGAATCTAATTTTAACTATGTGGCCGTGACGTACGTAATGTTTCGCTATGAAGTTTACCAAAGTCTGTGTGGCTGTAAACAACCTACACAGTGAAGAAAGAAGTGCTAAGCTGCTGGATTGCAAAATTAATTTTTTCAAGTATTTTTTTGCTTCCGTTTGATTCTCAACTTAATCTAAAACCAGAAGCTTGCAAGTTGGAAATCGTAAATTGTAGTTTATGGAGTTGTTTGTATGTATTTGAGCCGGTACGTTTAATTTTGACCATGGGTAGATCAAAAAACTCCACAGTAAATTCAAATCTGTAAAATTAGTTTTTGAAGTAAAATCTCATAGTTTAAAGTGAGGGTGTCAGCAAAATCAACTTTTTTGAGCTTTAAATAATTTTATGATGTTATTTAAAGTACCTGGAATGTTGCTTTGATTCTTTTGTGCATGCAAAGACAAATTTATTTTAAGTTACTTCTGATAAATATATCATAACAAGTTAAGATAGTTACTTGATTGTGTTACAAAATGGCACCATGTTCCTGGAATATTACAAAATACTCCCCCTTTAATCAACTCTGCCTGTAAAATGAATGGTTCATCATAAAAACCAAATAATAATTGAGATTTTAGACCCTAATGGCAGCTTTTAACATTCTCACTTTAACTATGAAGAGTCTGAAGGCACCAGAGTGACGTTCTGAGCAAAGTTAAAGTTGTTGTGCTTGGTTTAATTATTTCAGTTCAATGGGGGAATTCTGCATTAATCTTTCATAAGTGAAAACACTTTAACTTTGTTACGATTAAAATTCAGCAGCGATGGACAGCAGCTTCTCTGTTCATCTGAGAGAAGCAGGGCTGCTGTACCAGAGGCGCCATCGCAGGCTGTAAGAGCAATAGGGGTTTGTATTAATTACAACCAATCCTCTGCTTCCTCATAAAACAGCCCGAATGCCCTGCACTGTTAGAATGTAATGCAATTACGAGCATTAAAAGAGTTGAATGTTTTTCAGATGGCTTGTAACTCATCTTGATTGTTAGATCTGGGATTTTATTTATTAGTCATTTAATGATTGCACTAGGATGCTGTTTATTTGACTGGGGGCTCTCAGACTCATTTGAAATAAAAACTTTTAAGAGGCCAGTCTTTTCCTTTGCTGGTTTCAGGAGCATCACTGGAAAGATTTGTTTTCAAGAAGGCAAAAACAAATTTTAGATGCTTGGCTGAACGTCTCTGTATTTACATAACTGATTAAAGTACCAAACTGGACTCATCTGAGACACACATTGCCATTTATGTCTTTACATCGCTTGGCTTTAGCAAGGGAAGAACTTTAGGTTACAAAAATAATCTAACGTAGGTTACTTTATATTTAGTAAACTTGGAAATTTTTCCAGAATTTGGCTTGTTTTATGGATTCAGCCACTATGCAAGGCAATTCAAAATGCTTCACATAATGAGAATATGAAACAACTAGATGTCACAACAACAAATTAATGTTGCCGTTTGCAACCATTTTCAAGTAATACATTGATAATGGCATGATAATGCTAGTCTTAAAACCAATAAACTTTAATTTAGCAAAGAACAGATGGAAGATATTTAAAAAATCCAAAACAAAAATAGTTAAATGGAAAAAACTCAATGTACAATCAAAATCAAGAAATAATGGATTATAAAGTCTCTATAAACAAAATGGCTGTTGAAAAAATATTAATCAGAATGAAAATTATTGAGCTCATTTTAATTTATCATGCGATTAATTGATTAATTGCATTTCCTTTCTGCAATGTTTAGAAATAACTGTCGGAATGAATTTAAAGTTCTTGGCTTTAAAAGGAAAAAAGGTTAAAAAAATGTTAAAATAAGAAACTGACAGCTCAGATATATGAATAAATATATAGAAAGGTAAACTATCGGGGTTTCCACTGTTAAAAAGCCAAATACTGACATGGGTCAGGATTTAACAAAGGCCCAAAAAGCTCCAAGAGACAGAGTAAAACCTAACCGTGACATGATCAGAGAGGCTTTTTAGGTTCCAAACTAATAGAGTGAACTTCAAACAAATACATATGTGGCTTGTAAAGCTGGACTCCATCTCTCTATGTAATTAAAAGGTATTGAGTGTTTCAGAAAATGAGGCGAAGCGGCTTTTCAGTTCGGACGGATTAATCAGTCGTAGATGGTCGACTGGATCCAAACATAACAACTTATTTACAGGAAAAACTTACTTTTTACTTACTTAATGTTAGGGTGTCACAGAATTACACAACCAAATGTACGTTTGATTTATCTGCACTGCAGAAACACTAAATCTAACCAAGTATTTTTGGTAGCTTCTAATGCAAATATCTTGAAATAAGACAAAACTAACTTGCAAGTAACTTTTCAGAAACATATAAAAGTTTTAACAATTCATTAATATCTCATTAATATTGATGAATTGCTGATTTAAAACTCCTTTATGTTACATTTTCAGATGCTGCGGTTGACTTTCACACTGTGTCAAACAAAACTGTTCCCCTCCTCGCCTGTGGGGGCGCTGCACCAAGAACCACTGAATCAGGGGTGTCCTATGTGTGGCCCAGGGGCCATTTGTGGCCCTCAAACTGATTCTGTGCGGCCCCCAACTGCAATTCACAAATTGGCCGTTGTTGCAGAATCAATATTTTTAATTTGTAATTTTCTTACAATGGAAAATATAAAGTACAAAACAAATAAAATAATATGTGAAAATAATAAAAAAGTGGTAAATTTCTACCACTTGAGTATCAAATGTTGACAATTTTGGACTTTAGAATGCCATAAAATTCCAAAAGTTGAAGATTTTCAACATTTTTAATAGAAAATTTCTGAGATTAATCTTAATTTATGAGTTCTTAGGCAGAAATGTATAACTTTTTTGTGTTAAATGTAGCTACTTAATTTGCTTGATTTCAGGTTGGGGCTTTTTTTGGTCCATGTGACAAAAAGTTTTGACACCCCTGCAATAAATGGAACAAAATAAAAACATCTGAAGACACTGAGAGCTTCTTCCTTCTTCTTTCTTCATTAAATGTAAACAAAAATTAAGTAGTGTTTTGGTAAGAGACTACAGGTAACGCTAAAGTAAAGGGGTTTTTTTACCCTTTTTTTACCCTTTTTTACCCAGAATGCTTAAAAAGAAAAAAGTACAAACTCCGCTGGTAAATTATTTCACTTATAACAAGAGATTTTTCCCATAAGTGAAAAATCTGCCAGTGGAACAAGTACTTCTAATAATTATTGACTTAAAACTAAATCTGAAAACATACTTGTAAGTCAGTTTTCTTTTGTTTCATGCAAACTAAGATATTTGCACTAGAAATACTTTAGATCTTGTGTTTCTTGCCGTTCATGTTCAAGGGCTTCAACTCTCAGTGATCCGGTTTGAAAACCCGTCCAATAATCCTCCAAGACAAAGAACAGGATGTAAAATTGTCAGCCTTACCAGATTTTACTCTGGCTGAAACCTTTAAAAAAGTTCATCCTCAGCCCAAAGCCGGCGCGTTAAGATCAAACAGCTCCAGTTTTAACAGCAGGTACCAGCAGGCGAAGCTTTGCAGCGCGGCCCTGCTGGTCCCCAGCGGCCGGCCACAGCTTGTCTGGGCCATCGCAGGGCAGATGGGATTCGCTGTGCTGAGGTTCAGCGCCGTCTGGACGTGCCAGGAATATTTCCACAGGGACACTTTCAGGGTTTATTGGCTCTTTCAAGTAGCTTCCCCTGCCAGATGATCCGATCGGCTAAGACGATGCAGAAGCTGATGGATAAATTACTTTATGCTCAGAAGTGAAGTCAAAAAGGCGAAATTGGGCTTAAAGAGGCAAGGCTGTAATCAAGTGATCTGTGCTGACAGAAGTTTAGACAATTTGCAAATGTAGTCAGTATCTGGGCTATTAAAGCCCATTTTTACCCTTTCTTTGTTCATCACACTTGACTGGGTTAGAGTTGGAACCAAAATTGCAACATTTGTTTCACTTTCAGCTGCTGCAGTTCTCTTTCACACTGCACTGCGTGAAACGATCCAAACCCTTTAATAAACCAGTTTCCTTCCTGGCCTGTGGAGGCGCTGCATCAAGAACAACTGAAGGAAACAACACAAAAACCTCTGAAGAAGACACTGAGTCCAACTTCCTTCTTCATAAAATCTAAACAAAAATGGAGTGGCATCAGATTTGAGCAGTTTCAGGATTTCTTTTCTATCTTTGGTAAAAAAAACAAAAAAACATTTATCTTGCTAACACTAGACTCTGTTTTGGCTGTATTTACCCAGAATGCCCTGCGCTGTAGTCTGCTTTCTTTTTTAGAGCTTTTAGAGCGGTCTCTGGTCTGCTTGGCGTTCACATCTGCATTTAAACTGAACCAGAGTTCACTTCAACCGAACTGAGACTCAGGAACTGGATCAGTTCGGATTTTGATCTGAATAGTTCAATTGTGCGTTCGCACCTAATGAACCAAACCTCGAATTGAACCAAACCTTCTAGGTGAACATCTTAATCCATTATTTTAGGAATTTCATTTTTGGGACTGAACCGTTCAGACTACCAGGAAAAAGTCAGATATAGTTCACAAAAAAAGCGGAGTGTGTTGCATTTGACTGCTGTGTTTGTGAACCCAACATGCTTTAAGTGTTTTGAAATATGCGGTTAATTGGTTTGTAGAATCCCAACCTTTGCGTCAGTGATTACATGATTTGATGAATACATTTCTGCAATTAGTTAATCATCTAAACTTCTGAGAGTTACATTGCAAATAGAGATTAATTTGTACTCATTCAATTATTCTCCACGGTTAAAACCTAAAGTGATCATCTCTTCTCTGTTTGCGTTACAAACACACACCAAAGGAATCATTGATTTGTTAAAACACACTTTGGAGTAATAAAACACCTTCGGTATCATAAGGAAACCCAACGGCGTCTCTCCATTTACACCTCAAACACTCCAGCAGTCGACACCATGAATGTTTCACAACTTGCCGTTATTAATAGTGTTGCTGGCAGAACTTTGTCTTCAGATCTGGATCCTTCGTCCACTTCCTCTTTATTCCAGTTAACCTCATCTTTTACCTCTTTTAACCTCGTCATCCTGTGCCAATTTATGTCACAGCCACTTTTAATTTCCTGTGAATCATTGAAGCCGCCTGAGTGAATTAGGATTCACTTCTCATTCACACGAACTCCTACATCCTCCTTTTTGTTTGAACCTGCCTTAAATTCTGGCACATCGTCGTATTTTGGCTTCATTTAGGATTTATTGCTGTCCTTTATAAAGCACTTTAATACAAAATATAACTTAACTTGTGCTTAGGCCTGTCGCCATAAGCAATAAATCAACTGATCATTTAAAACGAGCTCAATAATATTTTCTACCAAAAACTGGAAGATAAAAGTTTTAGTTTGGTGTTTTGGTCTCAACCAGCCATTTTTCTGAAGAACAATTTTGTTTACAGAGACTTTATAATTCGTTTTATTTGTTGTTTCTGTTGTTTATTCATTTCAGCCATTTAAAATGTCTTCCAGTTTATTAGAATTGAAAGTTTATTAATCTTTCAGAATGTGTTCTTGCTTTATTATGCCATTAACATGATATTACTTGATAAACAATATTATTGTTTATAACTTCTGGAACGATTTATTGTCCAGGAATTGAAAAAAAGGACTGATTATCGTCTAAACTTTTGGCCAAAATCATTAAGTCAAAATCACGTAGAGTCACACAAATCATTTTTAAAACACATTTTTTGTATAAATTTTTCATTTTATATGCTCAATTACAATTGCATTTAGGAAACACATCAGTAAATCATTGTAGATGCGAGACAGTCTGGTATAAGACAAGCCCACAACTTCTGCAGTTTTTCAGTTGATTTGTTTCTTTGCAGGATTTGTTTGAGTGAAAAATGATGAATTATTTTGGTTTCAGTTACTTGAAAATTGAGGTTTTCAAAGATATTGCTAATAACATGAATATTTTATGCAACTAATACATTTTACGGTGTTATTTATCAAACGTGACAAAATGTAATGTTTAATGGTTGACTGTCTTTTATAACTTTGAATTTTGACATTTTGAACCTTGCTGATGACATATGCTACACAATAAACTTGATTATCTGTAAAGAATGAAGAGTCCAGCTGCATCAACCGGCTATGTTTAATAAAAACTAAAACTATAGGATTTATGAATCAGTTTCATGCAGCACAGATGGATTTTCACCGTTTGCTTTAAAGCGTCACTCTCGTCAACATCTGACGGAAACAGACTGGACTTTTTCCCTCCTTCAGATGGAAATGGAGACTGAAAATGCTCTAAAGCTGCTCCAACATTTTCAGCTAACCGCACAAGAAGCAAGCTCTGTTCCTTGAAAGAACCTCAGAACTGCAACAGCCGAAAAATGACACCCACAAACGGCTCCACACGTCTTCCCAACCTGAAAGCTGACAACCCGTCAAGACAAAAACAACCTGCGGTAGATTAAATAAAACAGGGATGTACAAACATCCAGGCATTGATATTCCACTGCTGTGGCTCATGTGGAAGGTAAAGAAGGAAGTTTGACCTCTTCAGATGACCTATGCCTGACCTTTATAGTGTGTTTGTGTTGCTCAGTCGCCAGTGAGAGTCGAACAGCCAAATACAGAAGGTCACGACTTGCAAAGACTGCTAAATCCAGGGAACGGGGCTGACGTCTTACTGACAGCTAATTCTGCTAACATGTTATTTAGCTCCATCACCGTCTGACATGATGCACCAAAAGGTTGCAGCAACTCTACCAGAAAACATGTCTACATCTCTCCTTCGCTGTTCATCTGACTCATCAGCCTGCAGCAGATTTTAGCCGAGTTGTTTTGTTTTAACCTAATGATTTAATCAGTTAATTGCATGAAAAATTGAAACGAGATCAATAATTTCCTTTTGCATGATTTATCATTTTTCTATTTATACCAANAAATGGATAATAAAAGTCTTCAGTCTGGTGCTTTGGTCTAAACTACCCTCTTTTTTGAAGAACAACTTGGTTTACAGATATTTTATACCTCATTTTATTTGTTGTTTTTATTTATGGTGGATATTCAAATAGTCCCAGTGTTAAATGTTCAATAAAATTTAAAGTTTATTGATTTTTGAGAACGTGTTCTTGCATTATTATGCCATTATATTAATTGAAATAGTTTCAAAACAACGATATCATTTATTGCAATAACTTCTTATAGTCCAGCCAGGCCTACTTTGACCAAGTTATCAGTATTTTTGATCCTTAAAACAATAATATAAAACTCTAGGAGTAACACCAAGCCACTATTCACTGACATTTTCTACAACATTTTCCCTACTTACCCAAATGCAAAGTGAGTTTTTGGTAAGATTTTGTCTGCGACAAATAATGCACCAATATCTCCACCTACATGCTTTGACAGTTTTCCAGATTTTTTATAAGTTTATATTCTAAAACTTTATTCAAAAGTTGCTTAACTTTTAAATCCAGACAAATTAATGTGCATGTGCCAAGTTTAATTCCTAACAGGATGTTTTGGTTGTTTTGAAGCAATCTGATTGGCTGACAGGATTTAGCTTTACTCCACGCTGCCCCCTATGGGTTGGGCATAATTAAAACACCATTTGTATTTGTGCAGGTTCATGTTGATGAAAACTTTTCTAAACCAATTCTGTGTGCACAATATTATTTTTTTAAACAATGTGGTGGAGAAATTTGTTCTTGTAAAGTATAAAATAACTGGTACTAATATTGCTCTTAATTGCTAATAACTGATACTTACTGATATGATATTTATATTTTTTACCCTATTGGCACCTTGTAAAATCAACCACAGTTTTGAAACTGCTTTTCTGCTTTAGGAAAACACGCTAAGAACACGGCAATATCAACCCAGTTTTAATTATCAGACCGATTCCAATATGTTAAAAACATATCAGGCCAATATTATGCATTCCTAGTATTTATCTTTAAATCCACATTCCTTCTACTTACAACAGTAACTGCAAATGAAATTCTGAAATATTTGCTGGCTTAAAGCAAAATCAAACAGAGTTCAATAATTAAAACATGGAAGCATTTTAGGCCGTTTTACTCAAGTTACTGGCGATGATAGTAATAAGTAAATAAATGTATGTAAACCATACAAGTTTTCAAATTTTATGACTCATTTGTAGAGTTTGGGTTGTATTGGGGTTTTTTTAAGGCAGGAAAAATATATAAAAACTTAAAAAAGTAAGAAAAAGTGAAGTAATTTCTATAAACGTAGCATTGCTCTGTTCCTGTCTTGGTCGGACTCTCCCACACACACAGACAGCTCCATCCCTTCTGCAGCTTATCATTAAATGCTCCAGGTGAGCCGGTGATTTACACCAGTCATTTCAGAGCTGCTCTGTCTGCCTTTAATGACTCCGGCCTGGGCCTGCTGGCAGAGAGAGATACTGGGAACCGAAGCACTGAACAGTGACTATCGGGGACGGCTCTGAGCTCAGATGATCAATTGGACTTTTCATACTTTTAAATGCCGAAGGTACTTCCCAATAGATCACAGCATGAGATACATTTTTTAAAAGGAATTAGAGGAAATTGTGGATGAAAAAAAAGAAACCTGATATCAGTTTTTCTGTTTAACTAAAGTACTTATTTTAAAAAACACTTTGGAGCCTTTAGAGCCATTTTTTATTAAAGCAGAATTACTATTGACATATCGAGTTGTAGTAAGCAGGAAGACCAGTGGGAAAACCACTGGGGATGTTTACAGCAGTTTCTCAGATGATAAAATGTGTTTCTTGTTAAAGAGGATCTATAATGCAAAATTCACAGTTTGTACTTCTACTGCTTCCAAAAGCAGTCCAAGCACTTTTTGCCAATAAGTTCATGTTTTTAGCCGTTTAAAAATTCATTCAAAGGCCACTGCTCGGTTACCTAGCAACCCAAGCTGAGCACCAGCTGGTTTTACTGCTGTACAATGGCTGCTGGAAAAGACAAGTGTTTTGTTGTTGACTTACAAATTAGAAACCACTTGCTGCATTCTTATTGGTTGAGCAGGAGGCGTCATTTCTGCTTTTCAAAGATGAATGGCTGTAGCGCATCAGTTTGCCAATTTTGATGTGAGAGTGTAAACGTCGAGTTGGGGGCAAGCAGCAGCTTATTTGGATTTAAAGTGATAAAAGGGAGTAATAGTAGCTCATTCTGGAAGGAGCTGAACTGACTGAACTAAAATCTAATTATCTATGAATAATTTTGTGCAAAAAGTGTAATGAACATGTTTTGTATAGAACACAGAACTATAATAGGCGACCTCTTAGCATTTTGAGATCATAAAATGCTGAATTGTTTTATTAAATTAGAAAATACTTTTTGTTCCTCAGTGTTTGAGCCAAATGAAGGGTGATGTACTGTTATTTTGGCTACCTTTCTATCCACTGAATGCATCATTAGCTTTATGTGGTGAGTAGAAAGACCTTTTAAATCTGAGCGCTGTGACAAAAGGCAGAGTAACGTTTAGGCAGCTACATTTCAGCGCAGTAAAACTCTCGCTATAATAACCGTTTTGAGAAAACTGGGATTTTAAGCTGCTTCCATTCACTGTTGTATGTATTTACTTATTCTTTTTTTAAACACTATGTGACTCCCTCATACATCTGGTGACAAATCTGTAGAAAGAAATGGGAGAGTTTGAATCAGTTTGCGTCAGGGTCAGAACTGGAGCAGAAATCACAGGGTTTTATCAGAAAGATTTTAAAGCTTACTTCGTGCAGCAATGCTTAAGCTTTTCTTCTTTAATGCACATTTCTGAACTTTAATCATAAAATAAATACAACTGCAGTGCTGCAAGTAGATTTCACCATATTTACCTTTTTGCATTTCTTATTTTGCATGTTTATAAAAACAAGGATTTTGTGTCTCACTGGCCTTTTAGTGACAAAAACAAAGTGCAGCCACCTGCCCTCATGCAGCATAAGGACGATATTGGAACACCAAACAGAATCAGATCCCTGAAAATGTTATTGACTCCACTGTTTCTGTGAGCCCCCAGCCACCACAAGCTGATTGAATAAAACATGGAAGAAAGATTTGTCCACTCCTCTGTTTTTCTGTGTAACTGATCCTTTTTCTGTTCTGGGGCAAAAACATGAAAAATCCTGATGTATAAAAATGTCTCCTTGATCTTGAAGTGTCCTTTTGAACATGGTTCCCATTTCAGTCATTTATAAAAAGGCTGAGACATTTTTAGGGACTCTTTGTACAAAATGTAACTTTTGTCTGACTGCCAGAATAACGGAGTTGCTCTCCAGACGTCAGTAAATCACAGCAGCAAAGTATATCAATTTCCCTTTCAGAGACGATCTTTTAACTTATCTATAAAAGATTCTGTCCTGCTGATCAAGTCTGACGTGGTTTTGTAATAAAAGCCATTTTGTATTGATGGATTGGACACCATTTAGGCTCGACTTCATTAGGGCTTTTTTCCACCCCATCACTGCGTTTAAATACTGCAAAAACTTTTCTGTTACTCTGAATTGATTACTTATACTCTAAAAATAAATATTCTAAATACAGGGGTTATTTACATGGATCATTTACAGACATCTAAAAGCTGTGCTTTTTATAAATGATGTTGAGACATTTTTTTTTTATCCCAGTAAAAAAGGATGAAACCATTTTATGTTTAAACTACCTGCAATCAGAGGTGGGCAGAAAAACCCACAAATTGTACTCAAGTTAGAGTAGTAATACTTCAACGTATTTTTACTAAAGTACAAAGTATGCATCCAAGAAATTACTCAAGTAAGAGTAAAAAAGTGTTTGCTAAAAAGTCTGCTCAGATACTGAGTAACTCATCAAATTATCAATAATTTAATATTTAAAAATTGCATCATGAGGTGGACCAAAATATAAAGTTAAGTGGAACTTTTGGTATTTTAAGGACTAAAATGACAATAATTCAAATAACTAACAAAAGATAATGAACTCAGACAAAAAAATAAAAAAAATAAAAACTTATGAAGCTTTAACAAAAACTACAGGTGTGTGTCTATCTGGTGAATTTCTGGTTAAAACATGTTTTATTCAGATATTTTACTCAAGTATGAGTAGAGATACTTTATAATAACATTACTCAAGTATAAAGTACATAGTAAACTCAGTAAATTAACTCTGGTTGCAAGTTGCACCTCAGTGCAGCCATCAGTCCTGAGCTGCTTTGTGTGATTCTTCACCATAATTCAGACTTTAAGTGTTCCCCATTGTTTATGACTTTGTTGTTGTTTTATTTTAAATATGTTTCCTGTTTTATGTCTTTTTTAACCACTATGTGAAACTAAAGGCAATTTTCCACATCTGTAAACAATAATTATATCAGATTAAACACTTCTATCCAGAACTGTCACATTTTAGCAGAAATGCCAACAGAACATATAAATAAATATAAAAATAATCTGACATTGTTTGTTTTTCCTGTAGTGCCTTAAAATAACCTTTGTTTTGCCATTTCAAAAGAGAAAGCAACTGAACTGTAAAGGATAACAATGCCATACCGAGTTTATTTAAAACAAACTTGATGGAGAAAAAAAGTCAACAAAGTTTTGTGCATGTAGAAGAATGGAGAAGTTAAACACGGACAAGTTGAAATACGTAAAATCATTAAAACAGAGTCAATTTTTCAGGATTTGTTAAAAATTTCAGCAAACAAATTTACAGGTTAAAACTGACTTTAAAATAAAACCACCACAGTTGCACCGTGCAGCAGAAGATCAGGCACCGTTGGATAAACCGAGGCGTGCCACAGGGGCGTGTGCTCGGCCCACTACTGTAAAATCTGCTCAACCATGACTGGACTCCCAAATTCAAGTCCTTAAATCTATAAATTATCATTAAATTCATTAATGACGTGACTATTGTTTTCCTCAGCAACAAAAATATGCTACGATTTACAACCCGTCTCTAAATGTGTTTGGATCTGCAGAGATAGTCCACAAACTCCTCCCCCTTGATCATCATCAGCTCTTAAATACATAATTAATGTCACTAATTAACATCTTTGGTAGTGATTAATGTGACTACATTAGTAATTTAGCTCACAGTGGCAAATGTGTTAAATAATGAAGCCAAAACATAAAAACTTAATCAATACAGTCACTCTGCTTCTCTGCAACATGAACTGGGATTGAACTCGGTGGAGGCATTCTCAGGAGCAAAGTAGCATTACCTCATGCAAAAAGTGCTGACTTTGCACTTTGATTGTGCAAGTGTTGGGAAGGTCTCAACTTACCCCACCTCTATTACATGAGCAGAAATTTAACAATGCTGGTTCACTGATCCAAGCGGCCTTTGAAGTATGGCAGAAAAGCTTAACTGAAGAGTTTACCCAATTATTTATTTTTGCAGATAGAAAAGCTGGAACAAAACTGAAACCTCAGCAGCGGTTCAATTGTTCAAGAAACCTTTGCTGCTTTAACTACCGAGCTTCTTCCTGCAGCAACTCTGAACCTTTAAGACTCTTATGATGCTAAGATAATCTTTTCTCGCACATCGGACAGCAAAGACGTTTCCCAACTTCACACAAAACTTTTTCCATACTCTGCAACTGTGGTGCTTCCATTCGATAAGAAATGCAGTTGAAAGTTTGTATGAAAAAAATTAGCAGTCATTTTCACTGCAGGGAATTTTGAGGTATTTTCTTGTAAGATACACAAGTCTTTTTTTTCAATACAAAAAGTAGTCAATACCATTTAGGAAAAAAAGTAAGATAAAATAAATCATCATTCATGTACAGCTGTGTAACAGATGAAGGTCCCACTTCATTGAACCCCAGTGAAAACCTGCTGGTTTTTCCACCAGATATTGATTCCTGAACTCTTCCTGAGTTAAAACATCAGTATTGTTGTTTCTAAACGAATATAAATTTGTTTTCTTTGCATTATTTGAGGTCCAAAAGCACTGCATCTTTTTCGTTATTTTGACTATTTGTCATTTTCTGCAAATAAATACTAAATTTTTGCGTGAATTTCAGAGACATGTCAGTAGTTCATAGAATAAAATAATAATGTTCATTTTATTCAAACATTTATCAATAAAAAGTAAAATCAAAGAAACTGATCACTGTAAGTGGTCTCATATGATATAATTTAAATCCATATATATATAATTTCTATCTGTTTTTGTTAGAAATTAGCAGCCATTTTGACTGCAGAGACTTTTGTGTTATTTTCCGTTTACATTTTTCCTCGACATAAAAATCGATGCTAGTTTTCCAAGAGTATCGGCATGTTTGAATTTCACACATGACAATCCCTTGTGACAAGCATGTAAATAAAAAATGACCATGTAGCTGCTGTCACAAACACAGATGTTCAACTCGGCCGTCAGAAATCAAAAAAGTGCAACAGTGCCAGGCGTACTGTGCAAAAATAAAACCTTCCATCGGCTGCAGATGTGACATCTGGCTAATTTTATCAGCTTAAATGTAAATTCTATATGTAGTTAAATAATAAATTCTTGTTTTTCTTCTGCAGACAACATACACAGTACAGTGTATAATTTTGTGGTCCTTGAGCCCTGATCAATTGTTTTCTACCAGGAGTTTGTATAAATTATTTCAATTAAATGCACTCCAGTTCTTGAGCTTAGAAAGGCTGCATGTGGGTATATTTTTAGTTTGTTGGTTATCTGCCTTAAAATAAAAACCTCCAGGCTGCTTCTTTAGAGTTTGGCAGTTGCATTTCTGTCGTCCCTCCTGAGGCGTCAAGCCGCTCAGTTACTACATCACCTGTCTGTCGCTACGACCGTCACTGGGTTAAAGTCCTCTCGTTCCTCACCGCTCTCATTACTGAGACATCCCGGCGTCTGGTGGGAAATATAGCTCTAAAGGCTGCTGTCAAAAATATAACCATGTTCTCACGTCAGCACAAATATATCTACAGCGTCGCTGACTGTGTCGACATGCATCTGGTTACGTGTTGTTAAAGAGAACAACGTAGAAACGTCTAATCTGTGCAGAAAATAAGTCGCAATTAAAGGTGTGACTATTATCAGTCAGAGGTAAAAAGGAGCTGCAGGTGATGCAAGAATACAGACAAACTTTAAAACTTTATCCTGCAGGAAAGCCTGAAGATCTGAAATGAAATGCTACATAGAAGTCACATCAGTTAATTTTGTCGAAACTTTGTGTTTTATATTCAAAATGTTCATATAATAAATGCGTATCAAGGATTAATTTAAATGTGAACATATAAACATCATACAGCCTTCCCTGACTAATTAAATTATATAACACCGCCATGTTAATATGTTTTTATGGGATTTTGTAGGTTAGTGGTGCATAATTTTAAAGTGGAACTACAGAGGGCTAGGAGTGGCAAAATGTTCTGGGAAAATAACTTTAAACAAAAAACAACAACATTCCTAAACTATTAAAATGTTTTGGAGAAAACATGGATGGAAAAAACAAAAACAAAGTAAACAGAATAAGTTAAAAACTACAGGTTGAGTAAATATAACAGCTCTATGACAAATCGACCTTAAAATCATTAAAGAAAAATTTAAACTGCAACTCATTGTAACTCAACTAAACCTACTCTATGTTTGCTTCCACTAAACTTCCTAAAACTCAAATTGATTTTATTTTAATTAAATTTCGCCTCTGAAATTCATCTAAATCACCTTCTGCTGTTTCTTTTTAGACTGTAGCCTTAATGAGGAGGAGCGCGGCGAGGTTTAACTCATAATGGAGAGCAAATTAAGGTAATCTGACAGGAGCCAGGAATCTGCACACCTCACACCGTGTGTGTGTGTGTGTGTGTGTGTGAGTATTTCAGCAGGTTTCTGTGTGTGTGTTAGACCTGTATGGACTCTCAGGGGAGCGGGTCAACTCCCAGAATACAGTGGGCTGGCAGGACATTTAGCAGCCATCAGAGAGGCGCTGACTCCCCTTTCACTGGAGCCTAAAGGTGAAGCTTAATAAACGGACACACACACACACACCCACACACACCTTATCCACCTTCCTCGGCTGCCTGTTCAGGAAAAGGGGTTTGACCTTTATCAGATGGGAGCGCTAACACGCTAATAGCCCTGTCCACACTCCAATTAGAGCTGGTAAGAGAGGAGTTGAACACAGAACAGCCTGCCACTACGGATCCGACTGAGAGATGGGAATTGTAGAAGCTGTCGGACCTGGAGAGAGGAAGAGGAGCTGGGAAACGATGAAAATGGCAAGAAAAGACTGAAATGTGAGACAAAAGTGGAAATGTTTCACTTTTAAAATGTCTACACTGACTTTTCCTACATTTTAGGAGGAATATAAATGTCAAAATGGAGTATAAATTAACAAATATTACAGAGGGAACTCTGAGGCCTGGGGAGCGTCATGGCGGCTGGAACCCATTTGACCGATAGTCTGCAAACACTTCAAAAAACCTGTTCCCCTCCTCGCCTGTGGAGGCGCTGCGACAAAAACAACTGAATGAAATGACATGAAAACTTCCAAAGACACAGAGGTTTAATCTAAAATAAAACAAACCGATAAATCTGGAAANGNAGCACTAAGATGATTCTTATTTCAATTTTTGATTTTATCTTGTTTTAGTTATTTTCAGTTTTCCTTTACGTAATGTGTAAAAAAAAACACATTGTGCTGTCTCTTTAAATAAGAAACGGAATTAAAATCATGAAAAAATTTTGTTTACATGATTTGATGCAGCGCAATCATCCTCCAACTACGTCCTGTCATCTTCTTTGTCATTTCCACCAGTAGCAGCATCCGGTTATTAATCATGTGACTCGTGATGTGATTAAAGTGTTTTCATTGCAGTTTTTTAAAATAAACCAATGTCGATACGGCTGAAAAAGTCAACCTCATTCAAGTAGCAAAACTTTTTATGAAGACAAGGTTTTTTTTTAAATTGCAGTGTTTCTGTTTCAAATGTGAAACTGCACAATTACACAGTCAATGGAAAAGTAACTTATTCAGAATCCTGCATTTCCAATTTAGATTTTATTGTTCCAACTCTGAATACTTCCAATCTTTGCTTCATCTTCTGTTTTTCTATTGTTTTGGACTTTAATTAGATTCTTTGGAGCCATTTTTCATTTGCGTGCCGTCACCTCCAGCTTTTGCTCATTCTCCATACAATCCTATTAAAACGCCACTGTTGGTCTGACTTTCAGGTATCCATAGTTTCCAGGTATTTCGTCACTTCAATAAGACGCTGTGTCATGCAGACAGCTCATATGTCCACTTTGATAGAGGTGTGTATGTCTATCTTTAATTTTATTTCTGAATGTGTATTGGTGTTTTGTGTGTGCGGCAGGTTGAGCCCCTCTCTCTCAGCAGATTGGACCCAGAGCTGATGTGATATGAGACAGAAGAGAGTTACTGAACCCTGGCTGATTGGATGGTAACGGGGAATGATTGCTCTTTTCTTTTTCAGCTTATCCCAACCGGTCCCTAAGTTTCACACAGTATCAAGAAAAGCACAGTTTCTAATTGTGCATTGTGATTTCAGTAAAAATAAATCTTTACAAATAACCAATTAATTATATATTTAATAATTATAAAACCTCCATTTAACTCCCCTGCAAAATCACAAAATCTTACAAAGTAATTTTTATCTATTTTCTAGGAGAAATATCTTAAGAAACTTGAAATAAGATAAAACTAACTTAAAAGTAACTTTTCAGCAAGATATAATAGCTTGTTTTAAGTAAATAATTCCTTCATGTTGATGAAAAAGTTATAATTCCACTGGCGCTGTTACCTAGCAACACCAGCCAAGCCCAGCCCGTCACCTAGCAACGCCAGCCAAGCCCAGCCCGTCACCTAGCAACGCCAGCCAAGCCCAGCCCGTCACCTAGCAACCAAGTTCTAGTTCCACTGGGAGATTATTTCACTTATAACAAGACATTTTTCAATCTATTGTTTTTGTCTGCTTCAGTTTCTTTATTATTTATTTTACATTGGTTGTTACACTCCTAATTTCACTGAACAAATTAAAGTTGTTTTTACATGTTTGACCAAATTTGTGAAGCTATTTATGTATTTAAGTGTGCTGTACTGGTGCAGGATAGCAAATACATTTTGAATTAAGTATATATCTGTGCTTAAAATAAAATAATAAAATGTGAATTCTGAGTTGTTTTTCTGAATCGGGTCGGTATCAGCAAACACTAAAAATATCCACTGCAAAAACATAAAATATTATCAAATATTTTGGCTTATTTCAAAGACACTTGAAATACAATATAGGAACTTGTTTTAGTTTTATTTCACTTATATGGGAAAAATGTCTTACTATGAGTTAAATAATCTGCCATAATAAATATAAAAAATTACTGACTTAAAACAAGCTCCTACTTTTTCTCTAAAAAGTAACTTTTAAGTTAGTTTTGTCTTATTTCAGGTAAACTAAGATATTTGCTTTATAAACTAGACCCAAAATATTTGGTAATATTTTATGTTTTTGCAGTGAATATCTGAGGTTTAGTTTTGGTCGATTCTGATCCAATACAGAAAAATAATCCTCATTTCACTTAAAATGTTTTTTTTCTTTAAACAGACATAAAAGCACTGGATTACAAACCTTTATGCTACCGCCACACCAGTACAGAATATTTAAGACATAAAATATTTGCACTAGAAATTAGACAAAAAAAATACTTGGTAAGATTTTTTTTTTTTTGAAGTATTGAAAAAGAAAAGAAAAGGGGATTTCTAATTTTTACATTTTAGGTCTATGATGAACAACAAGCCTTTCATGGGAATCTGTCTTGTTACAAGTGGAATAATCTGCCAGTGTGACTGGGACTTTTTATAAATGATCAGAAATGGACGACTTAATCAACAAGCTTCCAAATCTTGTTTTATTTCTAGACATTCAACCAAGAAACTAGACAAAAACACTTGATAAGATTTTGTGTTTTTGTTAA